TCCGAGCCTGCTTCTCGTCGCGTCGCGTCCTTCCTCCTACGATCTTGGGCGTCTGAGTTAAGTACAGATACACCCTTCTCTTGCTGGATACAGGAAGGACAGAGGGGATCAGGACCATCTTCAAAGGCGTTGCTTTACACAAATTCACCTTCACCCACATCTCCTCATCCACGAGCACCATCACTATCTTCTCCCTCCGAGCCTCTCGCACTTTCGCCCTCAGTTTCACCTCCACACGTCCTTTCTTGCACGTCATCGAGCCATTGCAGAGCACAGCATATCTCTTCAGTTCACAGCCAACCCCAGCACGAACCTGAAATCATCCTCTTTTCACATACACAATCTTATCCCTGGCGCGTTCCGCACTGGCATTCGCAATTCGACCCTCTCCCCTACGCCAGCAAGTTTTCCTTCGACCACCCTTGGTGTACATAAAAAGAACTATCTCCCCGAGAACAATAATAGAAAGAAATTTACTTTGCACACTATCTTCTTGGGCAGCCGCCTCGAAACCCGCAATATGTCTGCCTCACCCACCTCTCACGCCATGTCTTCAGCAAAACGGCCCTTGGAAGATCCTTCTTCACCTTCTGCCCCCACTGATTTACCAGACGCCAAACGCCCAGCGTTAGACAAGGTAGTCAGAGATGATGCAGCGGCCGAGGGCTCTGCTACCCTCAACAGCGGACCAGCTGAAGGCCCAAAGCCCAACGAAAAGCACCCATTGCCAGCGCCTGTCACAAATGGGTCATCCGAAGCACATGTCGAAGGCGCCGCAGCAGCAGGCACCAAGGGAGCACCAGCCGCTGCGTCGCCGGAGACGCAGTCGCAAAGTGCTGCTTCCCACAACGACCGAGCCACGTCTCAGACACCATCTATGCCGCCGCAAGACGAGACGAACTGGATCCATATCCGTGCCGTCATTTCAAGTGCTGAAGCTGCAACCTGTATCGGCAAAGGGGGCGAGAACGTCACCCAGATCCGAAGACTTTCTGGTGCCAAGTGCACTGTGAGTGATTATTCAAGGGGCGCAGTCGAGCGTATCTTGACTGTTAGTGGTGCTCAAGACGCCGTCGCAAAGGCTTTCGGCCTGATCATTCGCACCTTGAACAACGAACCCCTCGAAGCTCCATCAACTGCGCAATCCAAGACCTACCCGCTGCGACTCCTAATTCCCCACATCCTTATCGGCTCCATCATCGGAAAGTCTGGTGTGCGCATCAGAGAAATCCAGGAAGCATCGGGGGCTCGCCTCAATGCCTCGGACTCATGCCTGCCTCTTTCTACCGAGCGCTCTCTAGTTGTACTAGGCGTTGCGGATGCAGTTCACATTGCCACGTACTACATTGCTGTTACATTGGTAGAGCAATTGACGGAACGTTTCGGTGGCCCTGCTGCGTCCGCTTATGCCACAAGAAGTGGTGGTCCAGCAGGAGTTGTCCCCGGAGGTATGCAGGTTGTGCCATATGTTCCACAACCAGCCGGGGGTCAATATGGCCATCCAGACATGTACAAGAGGCACAATACACATCCACCACAACGATTGCCCCCTCAACCCTATGGTGCCCCGCAGATGCATGGTACTCCGCAGCAGCCATATCCTCAGTTTGCTCAACCGTACGCAGCAGCGACACCACGAACTCCGAGCTATGGGGTTGGTCCACAGCAACCTGCAGCATATGGCCAAATACCGCCTCAGCCTGCTGCTCATGGACAACCTGCTCAGCCGGCCCATGCCATGCCGGGACAGCCAATCACGCAGCAGATCTTCATCCCTAACGACATGGTCGGTGCAATCATCGGCAAAGGCGGCGCCAAAATCAATGAAATCCGGCATCTCAGCGGAAGTGTAATCAAGATCAACGAACCGCAGGACAACAGCAATGAAAGATTGGTCACCATTACCGGGACTCCAGAATGCAATCAGATGGCGCTGTACATGCTTTATTCCAGGCTGGGTAAGTTTACGGCTGAGACATCTTGACCCATTTGCGTACGCGAACTGACCACATGAACAGAAAGCGAGAAACATCGGATATAGAAGTGAGTGGAGAAGTCATTGTCCATGTGGCACGGTCACCACTCGAATCTTTCTATTTGTGCCAAAGGCATTCTCTACGGGCTCTGGCAGTGGTTACTAATAGGAAACACAACCGATATCGTTGTGTGGCTCTCGCCTGGGGGAAGCGGAGCGGAAGTCGCCGTATGGATGGCGTTGCGAGGACGAGATGGAGGCTGGGAGTAGGACGCTTTGTAAGACGCCATTAATTTTTCCAAGTCGAGAGCACGTCTCCGCGCCGTCGAAGACAGGGAGCCATTTGAAGGGGCTGCCAGCAGATGGACCAGCTGTCTGCCTTGTTCGCAGCTTCTTGATGATGTACCATCAATAGATTGCAAAAGTTCGTGTCTGAGTTGTTTTGGCAGACAAATAAGCACTCGAATCTCTCGGTCCGTGCCCTTTTCACAAAGCGGCAATGTTCTCTTTCCAAAGACGGTTAGTTTGTGGCTTCAAAATTGCGGGGGGAAATTCTGTGCAACGGCGGGGAGGCCTTGGCTTGCAGGGCTTGTCATGGAGGATTCTGCTTTGTGCTCTGACAATTCCTATTCTCGTGCCACTGGCTTTCTTCTCATTAACGATTAGACAGTCTCTATCTCTGTGAAAACATGGCTAACTCAACCTTGCACCGAGCTCCCCCTTTCCGGGCAGAGCACATGGGTTCGCTCCTCCGCCCTCAAAAGCTCCTCGATGTCCGGGCAGCGATCCGGGACAAGAACCTGTCACCAGAAGAAGCCGGCCTCCCTGCGGTTGAAAAGGAGTCGATCGGCCAAATAGTCAAGACTCAGCTCTCGTTGGGCTTCAAAGCCGTGACTTCGGGCGAGTATAACCGCACCCGCTTTTGGGGGTTGTTCTGGGATGAACTCGAAGGCACAATACGCTTACAGGATGCTGAGGCGAGCATGTTCCGTCTTTACCATCCCGATGTGGTATCTTTGATCGAGAAAGATCGGAAGGTCATGCCTGGGGATAGTGTGATTGCCGGAACCAAGATCAGACATGCCGGCACACAGTCAAATCTCCATGAGCTTCGCCTGGTCCAGGCTTTCGTTCCAAAGGAGGACTGGGGCAATATCAAGCTCACCATGATCACACCGTCGGTATGTTTTTCCTGTTAGCGCGCATGTGGCGTCACAGCCTCCGCTGAAATCATCGTAACTGATTGTCATGCCCTCGAAGTGGTTTCATATGAGGTACAAACAAGGACGGGCATACACGCCTGAGGCATATAAGAACGATGCCGAGTACTTTAGCGACGTTGCCAAGGCATATTCAAGAGAACTCGAGGTTCTGTATGAAGCCGGTCTGAGGAATGTCCAATTCGATGACCCGAACCTGGCATGTAAGAATCTGTTGCCTGTGCCCGTCTGTCTGATATAAGATACTGATCATCGTGCGCCAACAAAGACTTTTGCTCCAAGCAATTCCGAGACGGGTGGGCCCAGGATCCCGACAATATCGGCTCTGTGGACGACCTTCTCGACGCCTACATTAAGCTCTACAATGACTCGATAGCCAAATGTCCGTCTGACATGCACACGGGTGTCCATTTGTGCCGTGGAAATTTCATCGGTGGTCGACATTTCGCCGAGGGTGCGTACGACATTATTGCTAGCAAATTGTTCCAGAACCTCAATGTCAACACCTTCTACCTGGAATATGACACTGAACGTGCGGGTGGGTTCGAACCACTCCGACACTTGCCGAAGAACAAGAACGTGATTATCGGCTGTATCAGTACCAAGTTGAGGCAACTGGAAGACAAGGAAGAGATGAAGCAGCGGATCTACAAAGCGGCGGATTTTGTCGCCGAGGGATCGAACCAATCGAGGGAAGAGGCCCTCAAGAGAATCGGCATCTCTCCCCAGTGCGGGTTCAGTACTCACGAGAGTGGATATCCTCTGAGTGATGAAGACCAAGAGAAGAAGTTGAAGCTGATCAGGCAGATTGCGGACGAGATCTGGGGCGAGCCCTGAGACGGGTTTGACAGTAAGTGGTCGTGACGGTGTGCTTTTCCTTGACGTACGGTTGATATACATAAACATACGTGGACGGTCTGAAAGAGCATATTATGTCACCAGAGCATTTCAACATTCTGGTTAGACAAAAAGGTCCAGCAGGTTCAACACGGATGATAAAAAGAAGGGAAGGGGAGCATGTCTGAGTGAAGGACGGAGCTATATCTGGTCCAAATGCAGCCCAGCAACGAGGCTGACTGACCTCATGGGACAGCCTCTATAGTGTCGACTCTCTGTACTATACCAAGACAATCAGAGGAAGAAGTCTGTGCCTTGGCAATTGCCCACCTGATTCCATATCGCTCCGTCATTGCACCGAGAAAGCGGCTCCGTTCCGCCTGATCGGGCTTCCCACGGTCTTTTAGTCCTTTCCAAACCCACATTCTGCCTCATGTACCGAGTATGTTCCCACCGGACCCCACAAACTCCAGAGCTCCCCCAGTTTAACGGGAGCGAATAGTAAGTCGTGTCGGGGTAACCTGCCAGGCACGGCGGGAGGTCGGTCAAGACGCCGTGTCCTAGATTCTGACAACATTAGCGACATCTGATCTGATGTGGCACACCTCACTGACTCTCTTCCTCTTCGCTTCGAAATCCGGCGGACAAGACACTTATTGTTAGCTTTCGGAGCGTGCCAACCACCTTCTGAGCTCGCTTTGTGCTCGTCCGAGTATGATGCATCGCTTCTGTTTCCTCCACACCGTCGGCAAATGGGGGACAAATGATGGACAGATTCCGTCGGCTCCCACACCGACGGCAATTGAATCCATGCAGGCCACGAGAATGCTGATTACTTCCTGCATGTCGTGTGTCTTCGCTCTTGACATTCGCTCACCATCACTTTGCTGGTCCCCGACTCTGAGTTCATTCTGTCCTTCCATATCATCACCATTTTGCGTGACTGAGTTCTTTGAGCGTCGCCCAGCATGACGGGAACACTGTGGTATACTCTGGGGATTTCGGCCTTTGTGGCCATCGGCACGTTTGTGTTTGTATGTCACCTGCGTACGTGGACGGGGATCGATCGATCATGGCTGACTGTTGGGCGTGGGTAGGGTTTTGATACTGGCATTGCTACAACGAGTGAGTGGATATGCTGTGGTATATCGAATACGTGCAAAGATGCTGATATGGAGTCTTCAGCAATCGCACACCAAAGCTGGATTGACTATATGGACCATCCGTCCAAGGGTTTGACTGGAGCTGTACGTTAACACCCTTGTGGGCTACTCTCTTACGACTGAGCTTCTAAAACCCGACAGGTTGTTTCTGTCTATATCGCCGGCGAGGCGGGCGGAGCTTTGACACAAACCTTTATTGGCGATGCACTCGGTCGAATCCGCTTTCTGCAGTTGATGTCGGTGATTGTTACCATCGGTACTGTGATCCAAACTGCTTCTGTCAACATTGGAATGTTCCTAGCTGGTCGCGTCTTAGCGGGATATGCTGTCGGGTGAGTGTCAAGACTCCAGACCTATATCCTTGACTTATATTCTCGTCCCCATCACCCGTTGTTCAGGACGACAACTGATTCTCTCGTCACTAAAGAGGAATGGTCGCCACGGTCCCCATCTATCTCTCTGAAATTGCAGCCCCCAACGTCCGTGGTCTCATTGGAGGCATCTCAGGGTGTGGGATATCCCTTGGTACGATGGCCTCCAACTGGGTCGGATTCGCATGCAGCTATGCTCCGTACGGCCCCGTGCAATGGCGCCTCCCACTGGGTATCCAGATTCCCTTTGGCATTCTATTGTTCGCAGGTCTAGCGACCTTCATGCCCAACTCTCCTCGCCAATTGATCCGGAACGGCAAAATCGACGAAGCACGTCGCGAGTTCATGAGGATCAGGAAAGACCTGACCAACCACGAGGTGCACGAGGAGTTTGTGCTCATGAGGCGCCAGATTGAGTTTGAACAGCAGAGAGAGGTCAAGAGTCTGCGCGAGGTGTTTAAGCTCTTCAGGCACAGAGCACTCACGTATGTGTGATTCTTCTCGTGCCGTGGTGCCGACGCATTGAGAATGAGGCTGACAGGTGCATAAAGATCAATTGCGGTACAGACCATGACAAGTCTGACTGGTGTCAATGTCATTCAGGTATGTTTCCCCTCTCGCAGTCGCACGCCCAACACCCAAAGGTATCGCTAAGCTAACCCTTGCCTGTGGACAGTACTACCAAAGTAAGGCATATCTGCTTCTTAATCCCGGTTCCCTCTGTTGTTCGACACGTACAAGATATAGAGGGCCACCCAACTGCATTTAGCTGACAGTACCTCTCACTAGCAATCCTGTTCAAATCGCTCGGGATCAACAGCCATATGATCTTGGCCCTGGCGTCCATTTATGGCACGCTCGCCTTCACCTCGAATGTCCTTACCACGGTTTTTATGAATGATCAATGGGGTCGCCGAAAGTGAGTCTCCAGCCGTACTTGGTCCATTGTTTCTATTTCATATCTACTGCTTTGCTTCCAAAGCGTAGAGGAATGCTATTATTATCTTGTCTTTCCATTTCATCGTCATACGATGGTCTAATCTATTCTCCTCGCAAAGGATGATCCTCGCCGGACTGTCCAGCATAGTAGTGATCGAGATATACGCCGCCGTCATGCAGCGCGAGTTTCAAAACACAGACAACAAGGTCGGCAAGGGATTCGCCGTTCTGGGCATCTACTTGTTCGTGGTGTCTTACTGTGAGTTGCTTCTGCACCCTCCACCTACAGACGCTCCTCTAAGCTGCCTTGTTGGCACCATCGCCTTCCTCCAACACTCTTCGTCAATTCCCTACCTCTTTTCTCACATCATTGACACACATGCAGATGGCTTCATCAATTCTGTGACGTGGCTGTACGGCGCCGAGGTGCTTCCTGTCAACCTGCGGTCGAAAGTCATGGGTCTGGCGGCGGCGTCCCATTTTATCGTCAATGTCGGGAGTGAGTACCATCTTCCCCCGTTTCTTAACATATATGTTTCTACTTACTCTCCCTGCGCCACGAGCTAATCACGTTTTAATCAAAATCTCTACAGTAACCGAGGCTGGACCTTCTGCTTTTGCCAATATCAAAGAGGTGAGTCGCCTACTTGGTCTCGAGGGATCTGTCCCTTCTCTTCGGGGAGCCACGTCCTTTCTCTCCCTGGGCCCCCTTTTTGTACGCGAAGCTAACCATTTTCCGCTTGTCGGGGCTAGAACTACTACTACGTCTTCGTCGGATGCTCTTTTTTCTTCCTCATCGTGGCATATTTCTACTTCCCGTAAGTCCGACCCTTCCATGCGCGCGGGGGGACTTTGAAAGATGAAACCCGAGAACCCTCTCTTCCGGGCTCTCTCTCAGTCCCCCGTCTGCCTACCTAGGATGGTCGCTGATTCGAACTTCTGTCCCCGCCAGAGAAACAAAGAAGAAGACGCTCGAAGAGATTGCCGCCGCCTTTGGTGATAAGGTCGTCCTGCTCACCGAGAACGATCTCGCGGTTGAGACTGCGGTCATGGAGGACAAGGGCGTTGCTATACAAGTGGAGAGTGCCTCGACGGCGACGGCTAAGGTCTAGGAACCATCTTCGGCTCGCTTGGACAGGGATATAGTCGTTGGTTCCTACGGCGGAAGGGAGAAAGCATTGGTGGTCTGGCACCGTGAGTGCTGGTCAGTCACGTATGATGTGTCTGTCTGTGGTGGGGGTCACTTGCGAGGTGTGAGGTGTGCCAGGGCTGGAGTGAGAGGGCACAAGTACACTAAAGAGTGTATGCTATGGTACTTGTCGGGATTGCACTTGTTCTTCATGTATTCAATCTCGTCCACCGTTGCACGATTTGAGCAACACCCGTACCTCTCCCACGGAGTGATGGTTGTCCAGATGTGGCTAGTGAATTCTCTTACCAGCCGTCGCCCCACACTCTGAACCCGCTAGACGCCACTCCAAAGTCTAGTGCCCTAGGACTACCTCGTACAGTCCTACTATACTCGCAGCTCGGTACTCGGTACCGAGTACATACTCCTGCTTGTATAGTGCACAGGTACTGTCCTCTTCTCAGTACCATTCCAGAACCCCAGTTTTCGAGATGTACTTCCCACCTCTCACTAAAATACATTTCATTACGTTTACATTGCATTACTTATAGCTCCAATAGCGGCATCTCTTCGACCCTGTGAGTGAGTGGTGTAGTGTAGTGTAGAGAGTAATGAGTGCCCAACTAGAGGAAATATGATGGAGTCAATAAGAAAAAAAAAAGCCTCGGCCAGTCCAGTCTCCATGTTGCATGTGTACGAGGCATGGCTCTGGCCGTTCGCACGCCGGCAAAAAGGGGATGGCGTAAAAGGTATCGAGATAGGCTACAAAAAGCCGAAACGTTGGTCTTTGTTCGTATTTCGTTTTTGAACGGAACATCTGATTCAGCAGCGTGGAGGGGGGGGGGGGGGGGGGGAGGATCTCATTGTCATGCGGGCGGAGCATTCATTCCTCGCACAACACCCCGATAGAAATACTACTTATGAGCCATCCAGGGGTTCTATCGCTTGACTTGGGGCGATCGGTCACAGTCCTCAGACCACATGGCACAAGCCACAACACCACCACCACCACTACATCCTCCTCTCCTCTTCTTCCCGGCTTTCCCTTCCATCGAGACCTAAGATCTACTGCCCCACCCTGTTCGGTATCCCCGTCATCTGCTCGGCCAACACGTCCGCCGGCAATGCGGGCCTGTCCGCAACCGATTTCCCCGCCGTGGTGCCCGCGTCGACAGGCATGATCAGGCCGGTGATCCATCGGGCTTCCTTGCTGCAGAGGAAGAGGATTGCTGGAGAGTGAGAGCGAGTGACGACGGTCAGCGCCGCTGGCATTGGTATAGATATCAGGCAGGCTCAGACGGCCCCTCCTAACGGAGGAGAACAGAAGAGAGGGAACAGGAAGGAGGAGAGAGAAGAGAGGATATTTACCGTATCCCACGTCCCAGCCCGTGCCTTCTTGCTTCAACATGTTCTGGTTGATCCGTGCTTGTCTCATGTCGTCCGAGATGCCGCGGCTTCTTACCATCTGTCATTATCGGTGAAAATGGGGATGAAGTGTCAGTAATTGTGGCCAAAAGTGGAAAGTGAAATCTGACAAAATGCAATTGTCTTGTAATGTCGAAAAAAATCATTCTGGGAACAAAAACCGGAGGGTGTGATTGTACAAGATACAAACGCAAAGACTTGCACGAGGCCTGAAAGGGACTCACCGGAGTAAACACCATGCCGGGACACACGCAGTTGACCCTGATATTCTCGGTGCCATGCTGCGCGGCCATGGCCCGTGTCATCTGAACAATTGCGCCCTTGGTCGTAGGATACGACAGGCCGGGGTTGCCGCCGAGCAGGCCCGACACCGAGGAGACGTTGACGATGGCACCACGGCCGGCCTTGCGCATCTCAGGGACCACGTGCCGCGCCATCAGGACCATGCTCGTGACGTTGATGCGCATGTCGCGGTCCCAGGCCGCAAGATCTAGTGCGGTAGCGTCCCCCATGGCGCCGCCCACGCCCACGACGTTGACCAGGATGGTCACCGTGCCGAAGAGCTCGACCGTCTTGGCCACGGCGTCCTTGCACGACGACTCGTCTGTGACGTCGGCGCGGATCACCGTGGAGATGCCGCCCTCGGCGTCAATCATGCGTTTGGTCTCCTCGGCCCACGAGACGTTGATGTCCAGGAGGGCGACTTTGGCGCCTTGCCGCGCGAGAAGAATGGCCGTCGCGCGTCCAATGCCGATTTCGCCTGTATACAAGTAGATCTTCAGTTTAGGAGGAGACTGTCGCTGGTAGTGATGGTGATGAAGAGAGACATGGGTTGGCCAAGTGGCTTACCAGCCATACGGGATCCTGCGCCAGAGACAATAGCGACCTCGCCGTCGAACCGGAAGGGCTGGTGGGGTATGTTGGAAGCCATTATGTCTCCTGATCAGTTACCCGGCACAGATCGATGGTACAACTAATATTCAGTGAGTTGGGTTAATACTCGCACGCCAAAGCCGTTAAACCCTTCTCTCTACCTGCTCAGGTCTTACCGTCGCTTGTAAAGCTTTCGATGCCCATCTGAGCACTTGAATGGGCGTTATATGTGGCCCTCAAGCCTCACAATTGACTGCGGCCGATGCCCGCTTGCGGGGGGCACCACTGGCAACATGCTTGTAGGAGGTACTTTTGATGCCGTTGTTGTGCCTGTGATTGGATCGCCGGCTCGTTGGCCGTCTTGGAGAAGAATGTACAGTTGGAGAAGAATCTGAGGTGGACATCCGACGCTGGAAAGAGGCCTCGGAAGAATTGCGTGATCGCGCCATCACATAAGATCAAGAGACAACATTCTCAAAGTGAAGAGATATCGCTCGAGACAGTACCATCCCAGACAGCGAGCCAGCAAATCTTGGACTCCAGACTTACAGTGCTCATGGCGGACAAACAAGGCTTTCTCGCAAAGCCGTCAGGCGAGTGCTGCTTGAAGGGCTCGCTCCACGAGGGGGAACCCAGAGGCCGCATTGAGACAGTCGGGGGCGTCGAGACGTACATTTCGACTCCTCAGGGCAAGAATAACGGCAACATCGTGCTTTACTTCCCTGATGTTTGGGGCTTCTTCAACAACGGGTTTCTAGTCATGGACGCCTTTGCCGATGCTGGCTACACGTGTTTCGGACTGGATTACTTCAAAGGAGTCGGTTCACCCTTGATCCCATGGAACGACGACCTCGATGGCTGACCAGAGTGCGCAGGACCCGGTGTGGAAACATCGCAAGGGCCGCGATGACCCTGCTCCGGGGTTTGATTTTGAGGCGTGGAAGCAGAAGTACACCGTATTCGCCAACGAAGTGACCCCGGGTTGGGTCGAGGCTGTCAAAGCCCAGTTTGGATCACCAACGACCAAATTTGCATGTGTCGGGTATGTCTTGCTTTGATAGGTGTGAGCTTCGTTCGACCTGGTCCTGGTCCTGACCATCGTGCGTGCCAGATACTGCTTTGGAGCCCCATATGTCTGCAACGAGTTAGCCAGAGACATTTGCACCGCAGGCGCATTCGCCCATCCGGCCTTCTTGAAGGAGACACATTTCCGACAGTTGAAAAGTAAGAGAACTTGAGAGCCAGTTGTCGCGATATCCCGACTAACAAGCCCCCTCAAGAACCTCTGTTTTTGTCTTGCGCCGAAACCGACCACACCTTTGGGACCGACGCGCGCAACGAAGCCATCAAGATCCTCCAGGAGGACAAGAAGCCGTACAATCTGCAGCTCTTGTCTGGAGTGGAACATGGGTTTGCGCTTCGTTGTAACCTGGACAACCCCTATGAACGTAAGTCGGCCATTTGATTCTCAGCGATACGATATTGGACCTTGAGAATTTGATGTAACTGACAAGCCAACCGACAGGGTATGCTAAGGAGGAGAGTTTGAGGGCCATCGTCGAGTGGTTCAACTTCTGGCTGTCACAGTAAGACCAGTTCGTGATGGAATTTGTCCACAGCAAGGAGCAGACTGTTGTGGATGGTGACCGTGCCTGTATCAGGTCTATCGACATAACAACCTGCCTTTTCAGGAGCGAGTGTTCGCTCTGTATGGTCTTGCCACTTCATGTTACACCTCGAGTTTCTTTCCTGTTCCAAGAACCCATATTTCTCGTGACACAAACTGAAAAGGCCATTGACATGCAGAGGTCGTTGATGGGTTTGTTGATCGTCGACTCGCATCAGCTGGCGAAGTGATAAAAATATCTCGAATCTGCCAGGACTCGACCTGTGAAAGCTCGAAGCACCGAGCCACCACTGACAAATGAAGGATCTGCACACTTTGATCGCTCTTCTTCGTACCTATCAGCACTTGCCGGCATTCGGTGAGTATTTAATCCTCTGCTAACCCTGCATGATACAGGACATGGACTTCGCGTGGTGGGCCTGTTGCTATCCATATGGGTCAAAGCTTATCTTGCCGCCCCGCTGCCGCGGCCCGCAGCTGCATTTGCAGACTCGTCATTCTTTTCGGCATGACATGGCTTCGTGGACTTGAGTGCTCGTGTGCATAGCTGTATCAAGCTCGGACGCCTTGCAAAGAAGCCAAAGCGCCCTCAGCTGGTCCGTTACCAAGAACCTGATGCTCCTGGGAGAATGACCACAGGGCACTTGCTCTGATCGTCAGGGGCCGCACAGCATTCTGAGTTCCTTCCAGAACCAGTGGAGATGTGAACGAGGGGCATTGACTCAGAACCACCGGGTTGGTTCGCCTATTCACGAGTCTTGAGAGCAGCTTTCAGCTGTCTAGAGCAGGGTCCCAGCTCAGGTCCCTTGCTTGTATGGACCGGATATCTTTGAGTCCGAGTTGGTAGACTTTTTCCCCTTTCCCTTGCAGTCACAAGGCACAAGGCACATATAATGGGGCTGTGATAGGCTGTGGACCCGCGCCAATGGGAACCCCGGAATCTCCGGCCCCTGAGTGCCAAGCCTTTCCTGAGACCCCCTGAATGTTCCACCTTTTCTCGCTCTCTTGGGTCCCCCCAGCTTTCGGAATCGTTTCAACCCCCCAAAATATCTCATAGA